GCCCGGGGCGGAGACGGAGAGCCATTGTGCCAGGGCGACGGGGAGGATCCGGAGGGCCAAGGTGGAGCAGATGGCTCAGGCGACCGAGGCGTAGGCGGAGATCTGGAAGGCCGCGGTGGAGCCAGAGCGACAGAGGACCGAGGTAGAGCTGGAGGGAAGGAGGAGCCCAACGGAGCCGGTGGGATGGATCGACAAGGCGCAGTCAGAGGAGTGGAGTCCCGAGGCGATGGCGGGTCAACGACTGACCAAGGCTAAGCCGAAGGGACGAGGGAGCCCGGCGGAGCTGGTGGACTGACGGGCAACAGCAGAGTGCTAGGGGTCATGGTGGAGCCGCTTGGTCGACGGGTCGAGGCGCAGTCTGGGACTCAGAGGCTGGAGGCGGAGACAAGGGATCCTCCAGCCACAACGCTGATTGTGATTGGCAGACCCGCGGCGAACCCACATCAGAGATGGTTGACTGAGGGTGAGCTGAGGGGCTAACAGGATGCAGTGGTGGTGGTGGTGAGGATGATAGAGGAAGAGGAGGTGGGAGAGGGAGAGGGAGGCTGGGTGGGAGTTCAGGTTCGTTATGGGGTTCTGGGATAGTGTACTCTGCCCACACACACCAGGTGGCAATTCCCAGCATAGAGAGGATCATGTACAGGGGAACAACCTCCGTGGTCGCTTCAGGACTGGCAGACGGTTCAGGGCAGACAGATAATTCCAGGCCGACAGACAGTTCAAGACAGACAGACAGTTCAAGCACGACCTCTGTGGTCATGACAGGACAGACAGACTGTTCAGGGCAGATAGACAGTTCAGGGCAGACTAACAGTTCGGGCACAACCTCCATGGTTGTGAAGGGGCAGATAGACAGTTCAGGGCAGATAGACAGTTCAAACAAGACCACCATGGTCGTGATGGGGCAGAGAGACAGTTCAGGACAAATAGATAGCTCAAAAATGGCCTCCTTGGCCGTAACAGGACAGACAAAGATTTAGGATAATAACGGGAAACTGGTAAGTTCTGAATAAAAGTCTATCAGATCCCCTGAGGCCTGCCTCAGTTCACCCTCAGCAGTGGTACAGTGGGCGGAGCATTCCTCCGTGTCCTCGCTCTCCACTGTATCATCCCTCGTTGCCGGCTCTTGCACCTGGTCAGACGATCTGTGAGGCTCTGGCTCCGGGGGGATCCTTAGCTCTGTCGCTCTTGCTTGCGATGGCTCATTGGTCGCTGCGGGCTTTGGCTCTCCATCTGCAGCGGGCTTGGGCAAGCATTCCGCACTGCGGAGTGATGTTCGGCTGGGCTCTGGGGCTGGATTGGGGCTGGCAAGACCGATGGTGAATGGAGAGTCATTGCTCACTAGCACCCACTCCACGAAGGCGGCGAAATCCCCTTGAGCTCCACATCCGGACAACCGCATTCTGCATGCGGTGTTCAGGCTCGCTATGTAGAACCAGGTCGTCCGGGTAGCTGGAACTGTTGGCGATCTCCACAAAGACCGCCGTGTGGACCTCAAGAGGAAGCTCCCCCTGCTCCAGCAAGAGGAGGGGGAATTCGGGACGGTGGATCATACTAATAAAAGAAAAACTTTAAAAAACTAAAAATAAACGGGGGTAAAAAAATGCCGCTAAACTTTTCTTTTATGAGGTCCGATATTCTGTCACACCGACTGCTGCAAGGATGATGAAGGCACGATGACAAGATGAAGAAGTTCTCACACACAGGGTAACATCAAACAATACCGGACCACATAAGTAACAGAACGGGGAGTACTTGTACTAACTCAAACAAGGGACTAATGACTAGATTAACAGAACACAGGTGAACAGAATGAACTAATGACTAGATTAACAGAACACAGGTGAACAGAATGAACTAAATCAACACACGAGGAAAACTAGGTCAGGGGAATCCATGAGGGAAGAAAACAAACTAAAAGTCCATGGTGATGACAGATGTAAAGTTCAAATTTTTCTGAACTAGAGTACAAACTCCTCTTCTCTTACCTGCTTAATGGGATTAATAAACAGCTTTGTCTTCCCTTTTAATTTTCTCATGTTCTGCATCTGACAAATGTGTTTCCTGAAAAAATTTAATCTGACACTGTAGTTGTCTCAATTGATTTAAAATCCTCTTTCTTTTAATTAGGGTGACCATACATCCTCTTTTTCCCGGACACGTCCTGGCCAGGATTTCTATATTGCTTAAAATATCTGATCGTTGTATGAGAGCAGATGGCTCCTTGTGCTTTCGAATCACTCTCGCGGTACTTTGATGTCATACATTGATCGGTCTGCACAGCACTGCTTCAAGTGGAACACACCTAATATGTACATGTATTTGCAACACTTAGACCGTTCTCTGTACTCTGTTCTCACGCGACACGATTGGTCGATTATGTAAAATGCCTGCATGTTATTGGTCAAACTACTTTTCGCACAGCAGTGAACACACACACACCGTGAACACACACCCGGAGCAGTGGGCAGCCATTTATGCTGCGGCACCCGGGGAGCAGTTGGGGGTACATGGGGAACATGCGAACATATATACAATTTTTTAAAAACTGTATTAACTTCAGATATTAGATTTAAAGCCTCACGGATACCATTAAACAACAAAGCATGAACACTTCCCAGGTGGAACTCTGGATTTAACAAAAAAGGGGAGAATGTCCCTTAAAGGGATAGTTTACCCCAAAATTTAAAAATTGCTGTTAATTTACTCACCCTCAGGCCATCCAAGATGTAGGTGACTTTTTTCTTCAGTAGAACAGTAAAGAAGATTTTTAGGTGAAATCATTGTCCTTGTCGAAACATACACTGCATGTCTACATGTAAGCTGATGCTGTTTGTTTACAACAGAGAGTGAGGACTTGTGTGCTGACCTTCACCAGCAGTACCAACGTCTAAAGTATGTGATTTTTCTACATGATGTGAATCATAGGTGGCGGTTTATGTTTCTGCCGGTGGGCGCCCCACCCCCCCACCCCTTTGTTTTGTTTTTTGAAAGCGCAAATATATTATCAACAAAATATAACTGGTTGAGCAAATTATATGGGCAAATTACTCAGTGTTTAACTAGGCCTGTACTTGGTGTTCATTTTTCAAGTCCTTTTCGCCGTGCGATTGTGCGCTTGATGAAGAATTCATGGACAGAAACACACGAACCGCAAAATACATGTCAAGTAGTCATACATTCGATAGTCATAAAAACTGACGTTAACACAGAGGGGAAATGTTTAATGGATGCCTTGCAGATGCAAACGGGGTAAATAATGTTTTGTGTTCTGATTAAAATAAAGTTAACATTGGCCAGCCGCATATCACGTTGTTTAAGCTTATCAGAGCTGTTGAAACCAGAGACTCACACTAAATAAAGCCAAATAGGCCTATTCCACATGTGATTAAATCAACAGATGCAAGGAGTATTCGATGAAGCCAGTGTCCATTACTGTGTACTTTAACTGTATAGAGATTTTCATGAAGGAAATTAACTAATATTCTGCAAATTTTTCTGACTTTGAAGCATAGTCAACTGCAACATAAAACTCTGTGTAATTGCCTAAATATGAGCTACTGATAATGAAAACTGCTCAAACACAGTTTTATCCAGGCCCGGTTCCAGAATTAAATATTGAGGGTGCTTCAGAAATTAGTGAGTGTGCTCTAGCACATTTTCATGTATATTTTTTGTTTTGTCTACTGCTTTTTCAAGTGTGAATTCCACATGAATTTGTGGATGTCATTCCCGAAACTTTGCAGCGTGTATGTGGCCGAAAAACTAAAAAATACATACAAATCTAAATGGATAATATAGCCTAGAAAGCACATAAAGAGCACTCTCTTTATAATCACTAAAAAGCTGTTCCTCGTGCAATCTCAGGAAGTTTTGTTATGAGAGGATTCTTGGAAAACCTAGCACTGGACTCTGATGTTTTGAGCTGTGAGTGGATTCCAACTTAAACGCCTCTGATTGGCAAATTGCTTTCAAGAAATCAACGCTGCAGAAAACAAGATGAAAATAAACCTGTTGACGCTCTCCAAATTGCAAACACAAATATTAACTGGATAGTTTGCCAGATCTGTTTTGCCAATATGATAATGAATAGACAATATCTCAAGTTTTCGGGATCGGCGTCTATGATGTGAATGTTTACATGAGAATTGCTAAGCAGGTGCAGTGATTCGCTGCTTATGAAAGGCTATAAATAGCATATTTCAACAACATTATATGACCAAAATCCCCATGAGATCGCAAATGAAGGTTATTACAAACCCTTGATGGTGGTTTAAAGTGAGTTTTGAGTAAAAGCGTACTATCTCGTAAATTGTGTACCTTATACCTTGATGCTAATATTAGCTAATCTACCCTGCTTTGGCTTTAGTGCCATTTTGGTTTTTCCTCTTTTTCTTTACTGATTTTGTTAAACTCAGTCCTGTCCCTTGGCACTATCCACCTGATCTCAGCCTATCCCTCTGGTAGTTTATCTCATTGGTTCTCCTCAATCTGCTTCTAGCTTGGCCTGCCATTCTATGCTCACCTCAGCCTTGTCCGCTATGCTCTGCTCCTATTTGGCTCAGTTGGATCCTGTCTGTTGTCTGCTCCATTCCGGGGCTCCTGACTGTTTATTCTAGTCCAAGTCCAGCTTCTTCCTGTGTTTACACCTCTCCCTTTATCCCCTAATAGAGTCTGCTAATTTTAATAATCAGGTGCAGGTAATCTACTATCAATAAAGGTGCAAAATGGGTTAAGATCCATTGCTTTTTTTGTGTTAAACAATGGCTCAAATACCAATAAATTGACTACCGTAAACCTTAGTAAATCACATTGCATGATTTGTTTTCTACTCCTATAAATTTTGCATCTGAAAGTGAAACTTTCACAAATGCATATGCAATAAAGTGAGCCACAAAAAAATGTCCATGCTTTAGTAAATTTGGCCCCAAATGTTAAAAGTTCCAGTGTTTTTAAATAAAGATTTGAAAATGCAGTTTTAGCATTCACAGGTGTACTACCTGGCTATATTGAGTCTGTGATGCTCCTGGAGCCACACTTGTCTATGCAGGCTTAGAACACTCCTTTCCTTATTCACCTGAGCTGCATCCAGCACCTTCTGCACCTGAAATACACACAAACTCATTTTAGCCTGTTTTACTTTCATAATGTGACATGTGAGTCAAACAAGATAATAATTGTTAAATAAATATGTTAATAGCAATGGTGGACATGATTTTATTCATCTGGCATTGACTGAACAGTGAATAATGGGACATACATGAATGTGAAACACTGCCAGCACTCAGATTTGGGAAAGCTTTAACAGTCTTTGTGATTGCGACAGGATACACAATGTACTGCGCACCACCAACAGCGTACTGCATGTGGTAGAGTTTGTACAGTACTGTGTCATAGAAACTATCAGTATAATCAAATCACAGCTGGACTCAAATGAAGGTGTAGAATCATCTCAAGGATGATCAGAAGAAATGGACAGCACCTGAGTTAAATATATGAGTGTCACAGCAAAGGGTCTGAATACTTAGGACCATGTGATATTTCAGTTTTTCTTTTTTAATAAATCTGCAAAAATGTCAACAATTCTGTGTTTTTCTGTCAATATGGGGTGCTGTGTGTACATTAATGAGGAAAAAAAATTAACTTAAATGATTTTAGCAAATGGCTGCAATATAACAAAGAGTGAAAAATTTAAGGGGGTCTGAATACTTTCCGTACCCACTGTACTTGATGATTTGATGACCGAACGAGTTTAGCAGTGTCATGTCACTAATGCATCTTCAAGTGTGCATCACTGATCATTATTCACATAAAAAAATATTTTCTTTGCACTTACAATGTGATTTGTAAAATTTGTAACAATTCAAAGCAGTGATTAAAAACAAAATGGAATACACATGGAAGGCTCAGGACCATAAAATGTTTGTCCAATCATTGCATTCAGTCCAAAGTGTGGAAAAAGACATTCAGATTCTGTTACAGATGTATGATCCACAATTTGCAGACTTGCCAAAATACACAGAGACATACAACAGGGTAAAACAAGAGTAAACAATTGCAGTGTTTTTACAAGATGGAGAAACTGGATGTTTCTTCTCAACAGGCAAGCTAAATTTTAAGTTAAAAGTAGTCCTAATATGATGGGCCATTTAATAAAAGTAGCCTACTTTTACATGTTGACAAATGCCTTCACTTTTATAGACCCATTTGTGATGTTAAGTTGGGGGAGGCATGATGTGCGAAGGGCGTTTGCAAAGGTTGTTTCAAAACATGCTTTATTTTTGTAGTTCCACTAGATGGCACTAAGAGTGCAGTAACTGCCTGCCCTACCTTTAAAGGGGTCATATGATGCGATTAAATTTTTTCCTTTCTCTTTGGAGTGTTACAAGCTCTTGGTGCATAAAGATCTGTAAAGTTGCAGAGACTAAAGTCTCAAATCCAAAGAGGTATTCTTTATAAAAGTTCAGAGTCAGCCACACCTACATAAAATGGCTCGTTCTAACACGACCCCACATGTCTACATCACTATGTGGAAAGATTTGCATAACGCCGCCCAAATGTTCACGCAAAGAAAGAAGGCGTAACTTTTATTTTCGCTGTAGTATTGTTGCTGCCGCCGCCGCCATGTTGTGAAGGCGCTGTGTGTTTCGTTGTGAAAGCGAAACTACTTTGTTTGGCCTTCCAAAAGAGGACGATATCTGCTTCGTCATGCCTGGAGCTGATCCGTGCTGGTCGCTGAGGAAATACATCAACTTCACTTTCTCATGCCCACCGGCCGCCACTCACTCAAGCTCACTCTAGCCTGCCATGTGGACATGACCGGTTAAGTTGTATTTACTACACTGCTCCAGAACAGTTCAACCCAAATATTCCGATGTGTCCAGCGCATTTTATAGAGGACTGTTTCCTGATCCTGGTAGAGTAGACTACAATGCCGGCTATTCTGACTCACAGACTGTAAGTAAGTTTTTTATATTTAAAGAATTTGCCACTGACGATTCAAACGCGAGTTTTGAGCAGTGTAGAGTAGCATTTGTAGTTTGTCATTTCTCTGATCACAAATGCAGACATGGTTTTATGTTTACGTGGCGCGATGCAATGCAATGCGTAAAAAGACAGTATAAGTCATTATAATCCGTAATTATGTCCCCACTGGATGCAACAAATGCCTTGTTTATAATGGGTTTTAATGTTTTTGTCTCATCGCTCAGGCCGGGACAAGGCATCACAATATGGCAAGGGGCGTAACATTTCCGTCACACGCTTGAGGTATTTGGCCAATCACAACGCACTGGATAGCTGGCCAATCAGAGCACACCTCGCTTTTAAGACCGATGAGCTTTGTAAAAATCAACGCGTTTCAGAAAGGCGGGGCATAGAGGAGAAACAATAATGTACAGTATGTGGAAAATAATGTGTTTTTTTTTACCTTAAACCGCATAAACACATTTCTTTACACCAAATGCACAAAATAATGTTCTTTTTAGCAACATCATATGACCCCTTTAACAAGTAGGGGTCATGACATGAGAAATAAAATTTGCCTCGACCTGTTGACATATAACTGGTCTTTGTACCGTTAAAACATCCTGCAAGTTTCATAACTTAAAATGTCCTCCTCATTATAAACAAACCATTTAATCGATTTCCAAAAACGGTTTGTTTGGATATTGTGGGATCAGTGACGTCACACGGGCAAATGCATTTGCATACGACTGCCTCCGGGGCAAGACACTGACAAGTTTGCTAAGGGGTAATAATGGAACAACAGTTTTAAAAAGTGATTTTCACTATTATTTTACAACAGGATCTGCATTTTCACAGGTTTAACCCTTTAAGCCAGTGGTCACCAAACTCGATCCTGGAGAGCCAGTGTCCTGCAAGGTCTTACTAGGTATACTTGAAACTTCCAGGCAGGTGTGATCAGGCAAGCTGGAGCTAAACTCTGCAGGACAGTGGCCCTCCAGGACCGAGTTTGGTGACCCCTGCATTAAGCCCTGAATGCATTTTTGCCTCCCTGAAGGTGTTGCCTCACAGTGCTTTGTTCCAAATGCCTGCTTTCCTCTTTTACATCACCTACACACACACAGGTCCAGTGAGAGAAAACAAAGCCAATAGTTGTGGAACTCCAGTAAGGCTGTCAAGGCTATTTTATTCACTTAAACATCATATGAAGTGATTATTTTCTCTTTAATATAGATGATGCCAATGTATTTTTCAATGAGTCCGCTATGTTAGCAATAATAACGTTACCTGCTTGAGGGAAAGGGTTGCCAGGTTTTCATAACAAAACCCGCCCAATTGCTACTCAAATACACGTTATTGAGGTCAATTCAACCTGCAGACAAGAAAAACAACCCGTGGCAACAGTGATAAAGTAGCCCAATTTCACAGGAAAACTGCGGACTTGGCAACACTGTGACGGATAGTAATGTCTACAACGGACACGAACACTGTCACGGCGCGACCACAACAGCTTGGTGTTGTCTAATTTGGTATGGTCTCCCTGCTGCACTAATAGTAGTGAGCCATTCCTCTGTGAATACATATCCTTACAAGTACAATTTTAGCTGTATTATTTGTGTCCCCTTCAAAAATTGCTCGAGAAATTTTGTGTCTATTGTCCCCCTCTACTGTTAGACGAAATGTACGCCCCTGGCTGCAGTAGATTCATTCAAGTTCCTGGGCACCACCATCTCTCAGGACCTGAAGTGGGACAATCACATTGTGAAATTGGCCCAGCAGAAGTTGTACTTCCTTTGCCAGCTGAGGAAGTTCAACCTGACACAGGAGCTGCTCAAAGAGTTCTACTCGGCCGTCATTGAGTCTGTCCTGTGTTCATCTATAAATGTTTGGTTTGGCTCAGCTACCAAATCAGACATCATTAGACTACAACGGACAATCAGGACTGCTGAGAGGATTATTGGTGCACCCCTGCCTAACCTCCAAGAACTTTACACTTCCAGAGTGAGGAAAAGGGCTGGTAAAATCACTGTGGACCCCTCACACCCAGCACACTCCCTCTTTGATCTGTTGCCCTCTGGCCGGTGCTACAGAGCACTGTCCACCAAAACGGCCAGACACAAGAACAGTTTTTTCCCTCAGGCCATATCCCACCTGAACAACACATAACACACCTCAGGACTGTACAACTGTAAATAACTCATCAAAACTTTCATCTGTAAATAGCACATATGCACATTCACAATTCTGTCTACTGACATTTTCATTTTCTCTATATTTTATTACTATATTGTTATTTATAATGTATTATCTATTTTCTTTATTATTAGTGTTTTTATTACCTTAAATTATATCTACGTCTGCACTATGTTTGTACTTTCTGTACTGGAAGCTCCTGACACCAAGACGAATTCCTTGTGTGTGTAAACACACATGGCAATAAAGCTCTTTCTAATTCTGATTCTGATTTAGAGGCTTTGCTCTAAAACTCGAGGTTTCACACGACCTGTGTGTTGTGTGTGAAGGTAAGAAGCAAGCTTGTTCAACTCTCGAGGGAGTTGAATGTGCTCATTGCACTCATTTCTTTGTGGATAAGTGTCAATTGAACATGTTTGACTCACGAGGAGGCGGCTTGTGCTTATCGTGATGCATTCGTGGAACTACTGAAAGGGGAGGCGAGTGCTTCACCATTTACCTGAGATTGTAGACAGCATTTGCATGAGTGCATTTGCCTCTTGTAGGAGTTGAATAGCGACGAATAGTTCATAGCGATGAATGCATGCTGCGCATTACGGTCACGGTGAGAATTCTCTGCCTATCGCCCGCGGTTCGAGTCCTGCTGTTGCCAAGGCAATTAGTCGGACCATTCACAGAGTTTATAGACAGAGCATGGAAGGGACCTGACATTATAAGAGCACCCCGGGAGCCCATGCTGTGTGCCTTTACGTTTGTAGCGCCTGGACAAATCAGACACACAATTATTCATTATATTTAACAAATAATCCAACACCCAACAACCAGACATCTGTGAATGACCCCCAGGCCCCTGGTTACCATGGTAACCAAGACACCTCAGCCAGACCAGATAAACTTTACAACTTTAAAGTATGTAGAGAGAATTTCCCTCCTACTTAATTCCCT